TTTCAAATTGAAATTATAGAATTTCAGTTAGCCCTTTCGAAATAGTCGTTGCAAGTTCACGATAAAAAAATTGAAGTTATCATCAATGGACTGCTCATTTTGCACTGAAGCTACTCATGCCGAACTCCAATAGTTGAGTGCTGTGAAGTTCCTAGGCGTTCATTCCCTAAGTGGTTGACACAAGAAGCGCGGCCCAAAAGCTCTTCAGCTTTAAATCAGGAGTGCCCTAATCAGAAGTATTTAAAAAGTTGTAGTAGCCTGTCACTCTCCGTGGATTTGTGTGGAAATCCGCAAAAAAGTGAAGAGGGGACAAAAGAAAATGACATTACCATGCACTTGGCCTAGTAAAAAATGCAAAGCATTTCCTTTAGAAAAGTTGATTGGAGCGCGTTTAGCTTCTGAACATTTAGGTGGAGTAAGATAAAGTCAGGAAACTTATTTTACCACATGTTCCTAAGCAATAAAAAATTTGGAAAGTTCATTGCCGACCTGTTTGTATCAAAAATAATATTCTTTTGAAATGATAGTTCGGAATTGAAGGAGTGGAAAAAGTAAGATCTCATCTCCTTTCGTCAGTTATACCCATGAGGAATTCGAACTTGTGCCCTCTTCGACAGAGAACGCGTAGTTCCAGAACACCCGCAACTCACCCTGGAGGTAGTCATTCACAGCTTTGACGTGTTCGAAACATCGTTTCATTACTTAGGCTGTTTGCTTTTCACCGCTGCGTGCATTTCATCCGGACGATAAGAGAGGAACAGAATTGCACCAGGCAAGGTAGCGGTTGCAGGCCTTCCTCGCTCACTAATCGATTGTACCAAGCGCATCGATCCGCATCGGTTTCCTGAGAGTTTCTTGCGTTCTCACCATTTCCAGCGCAGTTAGCCTCGATGGAGTCCTTGTCTCTCCAGAACTTCGCGCTTATGTTGAAGTTTTTTTTATGATATTCTAATCATTTTATCAGTTTACGATCATAGTTGTTGCCACTGATAACGTTAAAGTACAAGAATAGAGCAGAAGGCGCTTTGCTCACCATATGACAAACAAATTACTCGGCTCTCCTTATGGCAGTTCATTTCCATTTCCTCCTTGGCAGCTGCGCAGTCAGCACGAGTGCCCAGGCGTAGGAAACACCCCGCCGTATCGATTGTCTCGAATCCTTTCCTGATTCTTTCCGAGCAAGAGTCCTGCGACGTCTAAACGCCAGAGAACACTCACTTTTCCTTTTATCAGGTAAGTTTCAATTTCAGTTGGTCACTTATCAGTTAGTTACTTTTATGTTACCTCTCTTTAATGTTGAAATCATTTTTATTTGCAATGTTTATTCATACTGCTGTTTTAACAAGCAACCTCAATGGTTTCCTTTCTCCAGCAAATACTGTCCCTATCAGTGCGGGATTTAAATCACATGAGCAAAATTATTTAACCTATCTGTTGCAAATCTTTTGCTTTTCCTTTACCGTGTAATCCTTTAATTTATTACATTCTTAGAGATTATGTGAAATTTATATCTGATCAATTCC